ATTATATATGCAAGAATGACCATCCTATATGGTATAACACCTGTGTTAAAAATGTGTCTGAATCAACAGCATTATGTTTACAAGCATGGTGAACTTTCAGTAACAGTACAGTGGTCGGATTGTAAATTTAACTTATTAGGTCTTTTTCCCAAACGGTTTTGCTGTTTTTTTTCAACATAATGTGCAAACTTTAATTTCGTCTTGAAAAAAAAGACTGCACATTTTCAGTAAGATTTTTTCAATTCTAATTTAACTGTTCTAGAACTTGACAACTTACTTACTTACGCTTGTTAACCCTCGTGGAGGAGCACAAACCGTCCACCAGCACTCTCCACCCAACTCCGTCTGTAGCTCTTCTAGAGTGAATACTGATCCCAAGCCCGGATAAAGAAAGAGGGTTGGGCATGGGATCGGCAGTCCCACCCCGTAGAAAAAAGCCCTGCTAGAAACACACTAACCAGATTAAACAATGGATAACTGATCGATTGTTGTTGCAATAATTAAGTTACAACCTAATTTTACTGCTACATATATCATACTCATTTTAAAACTATTAGTGTAATGAGCGAGAACACAGGCGGGGACAACCAAATATAATTGAGTACAAACTTACAGTACTCCTTAGTAAAATTTGAAAGCCATACAATAAATACATCATTTGCAAAATATCCAGCAAACGTCTCAGATTTCATTGTTCCTTCGTTTCCTTACTAATCACTTTCTGTCTTCGTTCTCCTCTCTTAGATCTTCTCAATCTTCTGTCGCCAGACATTCCATTGTCGATTGGTGATACATACTACTTATATATGGACATAAGCAGCATACACCACACTAGGCATACCAAACGTAGCAATTTATTGAGGGCCTCACTTTTAAGCTTTAGTTTTTTACAACTGAACAATAAGAAATTCAGAGTTGTATTTATAAGCTATAACTATTTTAGAATAATTATATACGTGTTTATATGTCACTCACTATACTGTTATTGATTAGCACATGGTACTACAAATGTAAACGATATTTCAGTAGCAAATTAGAGTCATCATTATTTAATTAACAAGTTTTGTTTCAACTACTTTTATGCTTACATGTTAATTGTTTATAATTTAAAGCCATGTATAGACTTTTATTATTTTGTATTTACTGTACAGAATAGGACAGAGATATTTACAAATATCAGTAATGATAATAATAATAATAATAATAATAATAATAATAATAATAATAGTGATATTCAAAATAACAATACAAAGATTAGTAAATATACCCAATGACTGACTCAGCATTTTGTGTTAACATTTTCTAGTGTATATTACAGTTTTACCTACTGATATTTAAAAAAAAAGGCATAAATAAATATCAACAGACAAGTATATCCATGTTTATAATAACTTCTTCAATAACCTAATAAAACTTATTCACTATAATATTTGTTCATTATAACTATCGTCTATATTATGTAGTAGGAATACATATGACCTATGAAAGTTATATATGAAATTCAAAGATTGACACATAAATTTTACAATAAATACATAATAAAACATAGATTCATCCTAAAGTTAGTCAAATGCAATGTATATTGTGATATTTAAGTAGTTCATCTATTTCTTATTGAGAATGAATAGTCATTATTGATAAAGAAATTCATCTTGAAACCGAAGTTATTAATGAATTTAGTTTAGGGGTTGTAGAGATTGTTAAGTTTTTGATTGAGATCATGAACCGATTGATGTTAGACCATCACTGAAAATCTGGAAGCACTGGACGGTCGTTTCGTCCTATTGTGGGACTCCTCAGCAATGCGCATCTACGAAATTGCTCAACAATCTTCCATTGTACCGAGGTAGACACCTGTTTCTACCCGATACGGATTAGCTCCACTGGTCACGGTTTCTCACCAGAACTCCGAACGAGATCATGGATGCGCATCCGCTGAGGAATCCCACAATAGGACGAGACAGCCGTCCAGTGCTTCCAGGTTTTCCATGGTGGTCTACCATCAATCGGTTCACAATCTCAATAAAAAAAGAATTTAGTCTTAAGTAAAGATTACGAGTAAGTAAGAAGTGAACGAAAGAAGTTCACTGAATTATTAAAGAGAAGTAAAGACAATTCAGCAAAAGAAAATATTCTTTTCTATGGTTTCATTCACTTAGACTGTATAACCCCAAATATAATTGATTCATTTATTAAAAATAGTATTCTATACTAATAATAGAAAGATATTGTTTAAACTTAAGAGATTGATAGATTATCATGTTATAAAATTTTTATGGATATCAAATATTGTAATAACGTTACATAATAGTCAAATGGTTTATCAAAAGTATCAAGATGAAGATAGTTTATATATTAGTATTAATTGATCATTTGACAAATATTATAAATTTTGCATTGCTTTACTTACAACAGGATAAAACTAAGATAACTAAATATTGTCAGTCAGTTACAACGTATATATGTGCCTGATCCTATGTTCCAGCTGGCTGACAATATTTAGTTATCCTATTGTAATAAGTAAAGAATAAGAAAAGCAATGGAAAATTCATTAAAATGAATTTATTTTTTGATTATTTTATTTTATTTCTTTAATTGTAAGGACTGAAAATTTCTATAGTTATAATTTACATGTTTTCCTTTATCGTACTTCATATAGATCTGTCCAATAAAGAAATGATCTTGTGAAATTTCCATAGATTTAGTGAACAATATTGACATTTGATATTAATAACTGACATTTAATAGTCTAATAAATTCTTTGTGAGAATCTTATACACACATATATATTCTTTGAACGATACATTGAATATACATGCAGATATTACATTATAATTAATGACAAAGTAAAGTTTTGAGTAATTCAGCTAAATTAGAGTACATTATCAGCCTAAATAATAAGTGTAACAATAAATGTGTTGTAATCCTACTTTGATATTTAAATCAACTTTATTTTTCTATATTAGATTAATAACTTCTATGAATGATTTCAAAATGAGAACATCCAAGAAAATGTGATACCTCAACATTGATGAAGATCATTTAAGGGATATTAAAATTATACTAGGTAATTGCTAGCTAATATCCATCATTGCTTACAAAAAGCTTGTGAATTAAGGCAATATCGAGGCATACGCACAGTATGCACATATGCCAATAATAGACTAATCAATGGCAGCCTTAAACCTTAATGGGAAGATACAAGCCAAACAACTTCTTAATCTTGTCTCTTTTTTTATCGAATCTTCAATAGTAATGATGGAAGAACGAAATATTTATATTAGTGTTTACAATATGTGGTACTGTAGCGATAAAGTAACTCTTTGAAAATATCAATAAAGATGTCGATACCACACGTTTCAGAGGAGAATTGCAGCAGATTACAAGTAAATATGAGAGGAAAAATTTAAAATTTAATTAGGGCTTATGAACATTCTTAGAATTACTTTTAAGCTAATCGATCCTAGATGATGAGATAACACAAGTTAATATCTAAAACTTTATTCAGTGTACGGTGACCCACTATTAGATCACTTATTGGCCTAGGATAAGTTAGTGGAAATAAGTTGATCCATCTCGATATATCTTCAAAAGATAGTTCAAAAAGCCACAAAACACCACCAAAATCATCCACCTGAGCTACAAATCTTCTCCACCATCTCATACACTTCGTATCCCTATTCTTCTGATTGTTATGATTCTAGTTACGCTTCGAACATTTATAACTCCACCTGTAGCATTTATAGGGATACTGACGGTCTCAAGGCCAGGTAAAGGAGGAGGGTTGGGTATGAGGTCAGAAATCCCATTCCATACAAAACAATATTTCTATAAAACACTAACTAGAATAAACAATCTAAATTCTGTCCTGTGAGTACAAGGACCTTCATTCAGAAGAATTATGACACCTCACTCTGAAGACCGAGATTCTTCGGAGTCACTAGGCTGATGCCACTTCTAACAACCAGAGTAACAATTAATATCGGTACATCGAATGTTCGGACAATGTGAGAGACAAGGAGGACCAATCAAATAGCTACGGAAATGAGGAGATACAACTTGGTGGTGCTCATAATAAGTGAAACACATTTGACCGAAGCTGAACAGAAAAGGATAGATCTGGGAGAGATGTTGTTGAACTCTGGTCATGAAGAAAATAATGCTGCACACACACACACACACAAGCAGGCAGTTGCTCTGACGCTGTCCAAAGAAGCACGAAAAACACTTATAGAGTAGGAATCTCATGGATTCACGATCATCAACGCATCCTTCAAAACAATAAATATTATCCGTTGGATCCCGATTCAGTGTTCTAGAAATTAAGAGTAAGTGCGAGACCAAAGGTCCCGGGTTCCAGTCACACGTGTAGGATCTAGGATGTGTGCCTCCACTAGGACGAACTGGCCATCTAGTTCATCCAGGTTTTAAGTGATGATCTATCATTGATCATTTCATTATCTCAATTACAATCCTTTTTACCCATATACATCAAAATGATTGAAGAAATAATCATTTTTGTTGAGAATTCTACAATTTTTACACTCCTACATGGCATAAATTTATTTTTTACCATGAATAAAATTTAAGAGAAATATATATACCTAATGAAAAAAACATACCGAATATTGTTAATTTCAAACTGGGGTCAAACTTTAGGGTCACAAATAACATTTTTACCAGACATTTATACCAAACAAAACTAACACTTAAAAGATTAATTACAATGAATTTGTAATGATTTAGGTCATGTCAATGTAAAATAATTTGTCATTAGTTCATTATTTCCTGTAATTTAGTTTTCACACACAGATTTTGTTTTTGTTTTTTTTTTAATTTGTGGGTTAGCAAAATTTCCCTTAAAAATAAAAAAAATTATCATCAAAATCATATCATTGGCAGATAATGAAATTCACACTTGTATAGTAACACACCTTATTTTTTATAGTATGGCAGACACATACTTTAGTTAATATTCATCATGTTACTAATCATATTCATAAAGATATTGAATAAAGTATGATGAACTCATTTTACAGGTGGTAACCAAAATAAATTTACTAATTTTTTTTGAATGAAGAAACTTTTGAAATGTTTACATGGTTTTATAAAATATCAATAACGTGTTGACAATTACCATGGTTACTCAATGGCTAAATAAACGATTAAAACAAAAATAAATAAATAAATCTTTTCAAAATTATTAAAATTCGAATGTTCAATAATGAAATTGTTATTTTATTTGTTGATCATTATTCAATGTATCTATGCATTACGTAATAATCAGCATAAAGAACAATTTACCAAGAATATTAATTATCTATTACAATCTAATAATAAAAAGATATTAAAAAACCAAAATAATCCTTATCAAAAAATTAATCATAATTCTGAAAGATTAAAAAGAAATTTCTTAATTGATATTCATTCACATAATACATTGTGTCAATCTGGTTCACAATCATTTCAATGTACTCCACCATTTAAAGATATATCACGTGGAGTATCTGTTTATGCAACTTCTACATGTGGAGAACAACAACCACAACATTTATGTCGATCGAATAAAAATTGTCAATTATGTAGTATTAATTCTACTGAATGGAAATTTTCATCAGAATATTTAACTGATCGTCATGATATTGAAAATCAAACATGTTGGGCATCAGGATATATTCGACCAGGTGAAGTTGTTAATCTTACTATATCTTTGGGAAAACGTTTTGAAGTATACTATATATCTTTACAACCATGTAGTTTAGGTAGTATACCAGATTCAATAGCAATCTATAAATCATCTGATTTTGGTCGTACATGGCGTCCTTGGCATTATTTTTCAACTGATTGTTATCGAGCTTTTGGATTGCCTACCTCAAATGAACATAATAGTCATATAACATCTGCTAATTTACAAGAGGTATTATGTGTTGCTTTACAACCACGTGAAAGTTATTACAATTATCAAGGTAGAAGAATTCGTTCAATGAACAGTTATATTTTCAATAAACCAAATATTACTAGAAATTTCGGAGGCATAGGTGTACCTTCAGATTGGGTTATTGCATTTAGCACAACACTTGGTCGACCAGTAACACGACCATGGAGTCCAGCATTGATTGATTGGATGACTATGACTGATGTTCGTATAAGCCTAATGAGTTTTCATCAGTCTAACGAACCAGAATATCGTATTAAAAGAAATGCATATAGAAGTCATCTATCTGATCACTCTAAATTAACACAGAATTCACAAACTATAAACAAACTACCCTTATTTCAATCAACTTACTTTTATGATAATTTTAATAAGTATCAATTAAAACGAACACGAAATTCAAGAGATGGTCAAACCATTACGGAATTACCTCATAAAGAAATCAATCATACTAATAAGATAGATAGTCAAACTGATTTGAACATAAATGCTAGAAAATCTGTAAATGTAACTATAAACCCTGAGATTTTAACTGAAATGGATTTTTATGCATTTGCTGATATAGCCATTGGTGGACGTTGTAAATGTAATGGACATGCAAGTGAATGCATATTGGGATCAAATGGTAAGCTAATTTGTGCATGTGAACATCATACATCTGGTGAAGATTGTGAATATTGTAAACCTGGTTATATGGATAGACCATGGGACAGAGCTACAACTCAAGATGCAAATGTCTGTAAAAGTGAGTAAAACGTTTTTAATAGTTATTTTATGAAATATAATTGTACTTTCGTTAGGCAATTACATTATTTCAGCAGTTTAAAAATCCCCATAGAATATTCAAAAACGAAGAATATTTGAGCTCAAATATTCTTCGTTTTTGAATTACATTATTATTAAAACCTCTTGTCGATGCACTATAAACGAATAGAATCTTAATGTGCCTAAAGACGATGATCACCATGGATAGGAATTTGTCACGGTTGAGCTTCTCTCCGTTTTTTCTCTCTCTAAATTCCGAACAATTTTTAACTTGATGAACCTTTTTGCGTTTTGGTTTTTCAACATTTGATGTTGGATTTTGCTTTCAGCCTTCATGTTAAGTCAATAGGCAAAAAAACCTCAAATGTTAGTAAGAATATACAATGTATTTTTTTTACCTGAGTAGCGATTGTCTGAAATGATTTTTGTTTAGAAGTAAGTGTCATTAGTTATATATGAGCTTTGCATCTATTTTAATCATCTCTGTTGTTTGTATGTTATTTGTCGATGTAAATTTTTCATTTAAGTTTGAGTCTACTATTCTAAAGAAATAGCTTACTATTCCAGTATTGTATGCACAAGTTATTAAAGTGCTATAGCAGTATATATTTTATTAACGCACAAGGGTTAGAACTGAAGCAATTTTGTTGCTAATCTGAAGTTATTTTCATCTATGTTAGTAGCTAGTTGCTTTTAAATGAATAATTTATCTGTAACTCATACTGATTTCTAATAATGACTGATGAATTTTCATGATAAATCCCCTAAAATTTTCAAAGTAGATATCGTTCAGTAAAATGAAAGTTGGTGACTTTTCAATGAACACAGAGTTATAAACTAATAACCAAAGCTGTTAGTTATAATGAGTTAGTTTTCAAAAAGGAAATATCATTTATGTGTAATTTTTGCTAATATTGTATTCTTCACAGTAGAACGACCGGACTTAGAAAAAGTATCTTACGTGGTTGAAATTATATTTACTAATGGTTGTAACTGATGCTGGTCATTTCGAAACCAATTTTTATATGACATATGAGTAATATGAACCGGTATTTGGACTGTATGATAATTCACTAGGTGTGTATTTAACATTTACATATATGGATATATTTGTCTATATTAATAACTCAAAAGTTGCGGATAAACTTGAATAATACTGATCATGAAGAGATCAAATTTCGTTTACTATTGAATTTAATTTATGGAAATAAGTATCACAGACATATGTAGTTTGCAAATGTCTGTGACTATTAAATAGCCAGTGAAAAACGTACGAAATAGAACATTGTAATTCTAGTCAAATATTAAACGGATGATTACAGTAAGAGTACCTATGCAGAATCGATAAATATCCAGATAAGTAGCGTATTGGCAAGGGCAGTGAACACCACTAAAATATATATATCATGGGAAGTAGTGTGTTATTTACATTATGTGCATTGATCTGGAGCTATTCCTGACCAGATCGTCAGTCATCAATATTTAGTGACCCGATGACCCATACTAAGAAGTTTCCATTTAACTTAGCTACTGCATGTTGCTTTTTCTGAGAAGTATGGTTTAGACACATCCAATAACTAGCGAAATTACAAAAAATGTTACTGGGTTCTGTGAATGATGATAGGAATGTCATACCAAGAAAATGAGTACGGGAAATTCCATTTTCTGAGAATCCATGTAAGCAACAAAAATCATATTATTTTGTCAGCTACTCGACATAATTCATTTTAAAAATAAGGTTCCTGATTCTCATTTGAAACATCTATAAAATGATATCTCTGAGTCAGTGGAATGGCTTTAAGCATTAAATACTAACCAAAATTTATTCTGAATGAACTACATACTTTCATTTTATTATCAAGATATTGATACAATGTTTTAGTATTCGTTAATTCCAATATATTGGAAGTGGGAATTTTATTATCGGAGTTAGTAGTCTTCTCCAAAGTACTTTAATACATGAAAGATGAGTACCGTACCTTTCTGATAGACTTTACATGTTACTGCATTGAATTATTAAAACTGTTTTTAATGAGATCAGAAGTCGACCTAAGTTAGACACCCAAGGAAATCCTGAAAGCATTGGACAGGCTTATTTTCCTGTTAAAGGACACCTCAGTATCGTGCATTAACGATCCCACCAATTACGATAAAACCTAGGACCTACGGTGATGGGCACTAACGTTAAACACCATTGGGCTGGGATACTATGATAAACAAGTCTAGCTTCAATCAGTTCGCAATAACGCGCGACTGTCTCCCATTGTCTTTGCTAGGTAATTCATTCACACCGAACACTTTATTTGTATGTATCTTAATACACTTAACGCTTTCAGGTTTTCACCTTCTGTCTTCTGCTTTACATGGTGATACTAGTTGTGGCCATGTCTGTTGGTTCAGAGAGTTAAACAAGATCATAGGTTGGGAATCGAGCCGCTACTTTCTCACTTCCAAAATACATATACGTCATGTAAATCAAAGCATAAAATACCATTGAATACACCGCATTTCCCCCTAAAATGTACTATTGAATCTAAATAAAGTTTTTTTATAATCATCTCCACGACTAGACTCGAAAAATTTCCATTTTACCTCAGCTACAGAAAGTTATAATAATTTTTATGAACGTAAACTAAAAAACTAATTACCAAAATACAATCAATATCTACAGCTGATAGACACATAAATATCAAGTAAGGTTAAATTAATCCTTAGTTTCGATTAAAAGATCTTGAAAAAATATCATTATTAGGTATATGTGAATCAATATTTCTTATTCTTGTGTAACTAATTAACTTCGTTTGTTTGTAGATTTCATAAGAGCATTCAACATGAACAATATTCTCTCTCTAGAGGTGTTATATACTTTTTAGCTTAACTAATCCAAAATCACCAACATTTTAGTTTACTGTGAAGTATAAGTAATATTACAAGTGTCAACCGGACACATTCAGCTGGAGCTTAAATTAATGAGGAGATCATAGATAAAATATTTAATTAATAAATAGCAATACATAGTTGACAGTCATATGTGTAGTGATAATGTCAGATTATGGGAAATTGATTTTATGTCAGACATTGTTTTAATTAATCATTTTATTTATTTATTTTTATTTTTTTCTGAGATAATTTTTCTCAGAATCTTACGTCAACGAATTACAGAATGCGACATTTTCACTGTATAATCTAAGATAATCTAATTCACAATTATAGTTAAAATCTATTGAAGCTTTTAAATTGACTGAATATTTCAATGATCTAAATGAGAGCATATTGTATTCATTGTTTGTTTTTTTCTATAATATTTGATAGGTACAAATTGAAGATTTGTAAAATTGTTATCTGTATTGTTGTTATAAGTAGTCTGTTATTTGATTCAGTAAAATGTTTTGTTCTAATCATAGAATTAGGTTTGAAGGAAATAGAATCTTTACTTTATTTAAGAAATGAATACTTGCAACAACTCATGATATGGTGTGTGCAACTGATATTAACAAATATAAGTAGTATGTCAGTCAGTTAGTCAGTTACAACATAGAACCAGGCACATATATGCATCAGTCCAAGTTAACATACCTCATTAACAAAACGAGATGAACACGAAATCCAATGATAGCAATGTATAAAAGAAAGATTGTGTATAAGGATATAGTACAGAAAGAAGAATTAGTTCGTAGAGAGAAAGGCATAAAGTAATTTTAATCTCACGGTTTAAGGGAAGATAAAGGGTGCATACACCTATACCATTGTGATCGATTGTGAGCCATGTCACACAGAGTCTCCAACCATTGGTTAAGATAGTCGCACGGACCTCAACCAATTATTCTGCATCTACCAATATGGCACATACTACAAGTTGGTGTCTTCAAGGACTGATGCTACGTTTTGGTTTGGCCTCCCCTAACATAAGTAGTATGTATCACCAATCGAAAGTGAAATGCCTGAAGGCAGAAGGTCAAGGAGGTCGACGGAAAGAGAAAAAGAATAGGGAGTGATTGATGTGGAAACGAAGAAACTGTCAAGTCTCGGACAATCGATTGACATTTTGCAAATAAAGTATTTATGGCTCTCAAATTTTACTAACAGATTCTGTAATTTTGTGTTTAAATACATTTAGTTGTACACGCCTATTTTCTTGTTCACCACAGTGGGACTAAGATGTTTTAATGACCTGTCAAATGTCTTTTTGAAGCTTCAAAAGAATCGATTAAATTCAATGATTTGGATCATCATGTTGTTTATTTATTTATTGAAGTTTCATCAGTCTTGTTTGGGTTATGTGCATTCTGTGCGGATTACCTCGATATAACCATTATGATAAGTTTGACACGAATGATACTAGATTTGAATTCCGAAGTACCGATCAACTCCGAGATTAAGGTACATCCAGCTGAAGAGCCCCGAATGAGACGGAGCATGTGTCTTGAATTTTACTGCTGGTTACATTCCATTTCTTTATAAATCAATTAGTTCTGTGTTATGATATTTCTTATTTTCATTCATCTGCAAGTTATCCTTAGAATATAGGGAGTACTAGAAATGTTGACATTTGTTAAACTAGTTACTTGGATTTTAGATAGGCGTTTTAACATTACACTGTCTATTAGCATTCCATAGGTAACCCGATATTTAGTTAGGTAGTATTCAATTCAAATATCGAAAAGTTGGTGACGCTTTATTGGTTTTTGTATAACTAATAGATTGATTTTATAACGAAAGATGTTTTGTACAAATTAGATTTCGTGTGGTCTAGTCACAATTTTTGTTTTAAGTTAGATGAATTAAAAACTTTGATTTTCAGTATTAAATATTTTAGTTGTCTGTTCACGTTCACTACACAAATTCAGAAATTTCGATGTATTTTGTCGATGCTGTTTAGCTATTATTTACCTTTCAAACTACAGAAGTTGATACTACTTTTTTATTTGTTCAAGAACTTATTTTTCACTTTAACAGAGATAGTAATATGTACCGTTTGTT